ATATGTATTAATATTCGATTATAAGTTTCTCGCACTTTTTTTAACTGTGTACTTCAGTTTCACCCACGTTTCTCATGTCGAATCATACCAAGTCGAGACGCGGCAATTAGACAGAATCGATACCCTATTCCTTGGCTTGTTGTCTGAAGGCTTGCTTTGCACTTGTTGCTTCGAAACTGCACGATAACTCCGCCTTTGAGAGCTTTCTTCACAATTTCAAGAAGCTAACAATTACCCGCAGAATCCCTTTCAATTCCTACCCACACGGAATATCGTATATCCCTGTGCCGAATGTTTGTCGCTTTGTCGGTGAAGTCGCTAACTGGGTGCATGGCTTGGACGAGTTTAAAGTACGACTGGCAATAGACGAATACATATGTTTCCGCAGTGTGGTCGACCCGTCGCAACGCGAGAACCTTGGAATCATCGTCCAATACAAAGTCAAAGTGAAACTCTGCCTCGGGCCCCTCGGAGGGTGAGTTACAAAATCCCTCATTTAATATCCCATAGCGAGACTGCAGACTTACACGTTTGTAGAGAAACATGTAAATTGAATACGAGAAAATTTACAGAATATTAAAATCGAAATACATATAATTGTATGCAAAAGATAAACAAATTCTATTTGTATTTTGTAAATATTTCTTATAAATCTGCAGTCTTTTCATGGAATATTTTTGGAAATAGGAAACCAGATTTAATTTCCTTCATCAAGTCGATATAGTGTTCACCATTAATGATGTTGTCAACAGGGAATTAGTGGCGGAATTACCGTTCATCTTGATGCATCCGAAACCGGAAGAAGAGGAACCGGCGGCACCGGCCACGCGGCCAAGTCCGACGCAAAAGGCGGACAGCGGCGAGATACCGTTGGACACCAACCTAATTCAATTAGACACGTACGTGCCACTTCGTTCAACCGATTTCGAATCAGTTATTCCCAGACGTTTCCATAAGGGTGTATTGGCTATGCAGTCAACCCCAAAAGTTTATGCACTTTAGAAACGCATTTTTTAAAAAGAAATCAGATGTCGGAAGAACATTGCTAATAATAAACAGCAAAAAAAAATTTTCGATTTTTCCGACATTTTTCCAAGGGGTACCCCTTCAATTTCTTCCAAATTTTCGTTTTTGGCCAATAACTCTCAAACCGTTGGACTTACGGGAAAATTGCATCAGATCATTCTTGTAGAGGCCGCCGAGATCTACAATTTCCATGTAAAAATTCTTCGCTATCGTCAATAGTTTACGAGTAATTTGCAAAAAACTGTTTTTTCGTTTTTTGCAAATAACTCGTAAACTATTAATGCTAGCGACAAACTTCTATACAGAAATTGTAGATC